TCAACTTCACCTTCTAAGTACTGTCTCTATTCCATGTTTGTTTCTATCCTTTACTGCTCCTCACAGGTCTTGTGCTATCAAATATGGCCCCGTCAAGTCCACCCTTCACAGAGCTGCCCCTGTAGTCGATATAAGAACTCAGACCCTTTCCCTCCTCTCCTTAAAACCTTTCAGCTCCACAGTTGTTTTTCCCTTTCTGAAGGCTCCACAGAAGTCCCAGAACTCCAGCAAGCTCAAGAACTCCATTTTGCTGAAACCAGTTTGGCTCAGTGGATAGAGCATTGGCCTGCGGACTGAAAGGTCCCAGGTTTGATTCAGGTCAAGGGCATGTACCTTGGTTGCAGGCACATCCCCAGGGGGTGTGCAAGAGGCAGCTGATTGATGATTCTCATGGATGTTTCTAACTCTTTATCCCTCTCTCTTCCTCTCTGTAAAAAAAAAATCAATAAAATATATTTAAAAAAAAAAAAAAAAAAGAACTCCATTTCACAACCATTGACCTATTATAAAAGATCAAGGCTAAGCTCCTCAACATGGGTTGAGGTCTCCTATAACCCTTCCCTAAATACCAAACTCCTTATAGTTTCCTTCACACACAACAGAGGTTTCCACTGCCATGCTTTTACTCACCCTGCCCCCTCCACCAGGAACAGCTTCTCTGCTCTACATCACTGCCTCCAATACATACACACATATACACACTTACATGTGGTGCACCCATGTATATCTGTGCGGGCACACACATGCACACACAGAGCCTAACCAACTGTTATTAGTCTTAAAGAAAGATTTTTTTTTTTTTAATCCTCGCCTAAGGATAGATTTTTACTGATTTGCGAGAGAGGAAGAGGGAAACAGAGAAACATCCATATGAGAAAGATACATCAGTTGCCTCCTGCATGCACCCCAATGAGGGATTGAACCCATAACCTGAGTATGTCCCCTCCCTGGGAATCCAACCCAAGACCTTTTGGTGTATGGGACAATGCTCCAATTGAGCCATACTGGTCAGGGCCAAGGAAGACTTCTGACATGTAGAGATGTTCAATAAATCTTTGCAGAGGTTAATATAGAACCTCGGAAACAAAGCTGAAAGCATTTTATATCCTATAGTTAATAACAGGGAAGCACTGAAGGTTTTATGAATAACAATGAAATGGGCAAACAGACTATTACTTTGGCAGCAAAATGCTGATTGTATTAGCGCAGAGGGAATCTGAGAGGAGGGACATCATCTATGAAAGTCCTAAAAGAAAATGATGTAGCCCAACCGGCATGGCTCAGGGACTGAGCAATGATCTATGAACCAGGAGGTACAGTTGATTCCCATGCCTGGGTTGTGGGCTCAACCCCAGTGTGGAGCATGCAGAAGGCAACCCATCAATGATTCTCTCTCATCATTGATGTTTCTATCTCTCTCTCTCCCTACTTCTCTGAAATAATATATGTGTGTGTGTGTGTATATATATATATATATATATATATATATATGTGTGTGTGTGTGTGTGTGTGTGTGTGTGTGTGTATGAAAATTATGTAAAAGAAAATGTCAAGCTGAAACCCGTTTGGCTCAGTGGATAGAGCTTCGGTCTGCGGACTGAAAGGTCCCAGGTTCGATTCCAATCAAGGGCATGTACATTGGTTGCGGGCACATCTCCAGTAGGGGTTGTGCAAGAGGCAGCTGGTCGATGTTTCTCTCTCATCGATGTTTCTAGCTCTCTATCCCTCTCCCTTCCTCTCCGTAAAAAAAATCAATAAAATATATTGAAAGAAAGAAAGAAAGAAAGAAAGAAAGAAAGAAAGAAAGAAAGAAAGAAAGAAAGAAAGAAAGAAAGAAAGAAAGTTGGATGTCAGGCATGGACCTGGCACACAGAGGAAGAGGGAGAGAGAGAGGGAGAGGGAGAGAAGGAGAGGGAGAGGGAGTAATGACAATGTCAGAAGAGGTGAAATCAAGCAGAGATGGCGATATCAGAACACTTCCTCCTCTGAGACACAGAGGAAGAAAGAAAAGAGATGTGAATGGAAAGAAAAGCTGAACTAAAAAATATCAATGTTCAAGGAAGTTATATTAAGTGGTCAATATTCTCAACAAATCAATAACTGTCTGCTAAACACTGGGAATTCTAAAAAGGAGCTGTGGTGCTGGGAGAGGAATAGAGGAATGGACGCTCCATACATCTTATGTCCTAAAACAGAGCTTGAGTGTTTAACTGAGCCCCAAAATTGACCTCAGGGATGGAACCCAACATAAAAATAAACTATGGGAACAAGAAAAAGAAGAGAGAGGAAGTAACCGAGGCCCAAAGACAACTTTGGGAAGACCTACAGTTGGTCAGTGGGCAAGAGGAAGAACCAGAGGAAAGTGGTCAGAAGCATCGGAGAATGGACATGAAGTTATATTACAGAATCTCACGGAAGAGAGAGAGTTAACAAATCTGCTCTTTCCTATACTCACTCTCTTCTGTCTGACTTAGTAAATAGGATATTGAGATAGAGTAACATGCTGCAAAATAACAAAACCCTTTGTCTTACATGTTGAAATTGATGATTCACATATAACATCAGTTGAAAATGTGGGCAAAACAAACCAAAGTGCTGATTACAACAATCTCCCTTCTAATCCTCAGTGATTCCTCCCCCCAAATAATTACTTCACCCCCACAAGTCTCCCCTTAAAAGACTAAGAATCAGATTGAGAATAACTGTATTTTTGTAATAACACCTCAAAGATACTCTTTTAGGGACGTCGTTCCAAGATGGCTGACAGGTAAACACCTAGCCACAGCCGCACACAACAATTTCAATAAAATACAACTAAAATATAAAATGGACATTACCCAGAACTACCGGAAAGTCAACTGACTGGAAATTCTACCACGAGAAGCAAGGAGAAAAACAGAAGGAAGCACGGAGGAGCTGTAAAAGCCTGAGGTACGGAGACACGCAGCGCGCAAGGAGAGGACAGAGCCAGAGAGGAGGGCGGCTGAGTGCCTGGCGGGCGTTCCCTAGCAGGAAGGAGATAAAAGCTCTGACTGTGCTGGGCCCCAGTTCCGACTGCTCTGAACCCCAGTTCTAGGCCAGACCCCGGGGACCCAGGCTCACACAGAGGGAGCTGGGCTGCGAGGCGGAACCCCGAGAAAACGGCGAGAGGAGGTCCAGGCAGCGCACACATTGAGCGCAGAGAAGGGCTGTGCTGCGAGATTGCCCTGGCGAGAAGGAGACAAAAGCTCCAGACTGCTCTGAACGCCACTTGCAACTGAACTGAACCCCAATACCAAGCTCATTGGGGGAGAACATAGACTGTTTGGCAGCAGGCAAAAATCAAGGGCACCTTTCTCTCAGAGGTGCTTGCAACGAGTACTGAAGGACCCGAATAGGGCGGGGCTGACAAAAGCCAAAGTTGTAGGCTCCACCCTGAAACCCCGCCCCATCCAAGCAGAACACAGAGACTTTTAAGGCTACCAACTCAGGAAAGCTGCGAAAATGCAGAGACGAAATAGATCACAAACGAAAGAAATGGAGGATAAAAAGCAACTGGATATAGAGTTTCAAACCTACACTTATAAGGTTTTACAAGAATTTCCTAGAAAAGATCGATAAGACCTATGAGGATATGAAAAGGGGTCAACTAGAATTAATAAGGAATCAACAAGAAATGATAAGGGATCAATAAGAAATAAAGAATACATTGACTGAAATAAAAAATATTATACAGAGTCCTAAAGACAGAATGGAAGATCGCAAGAATCAAGTCAAAGAGTTGGAACATAAAGAGCCAGAAGACACTCCTCCGCAGAAGCTATAGAAGGCAAGAGAATCCAGAAAATTGAAGATAATGTAAGAAATCTCTGGGACAACTTCAAGCGAACCAACATCAGAATTATGGGGGTCCCAGAAGATGAGAGAGAGCAAGATATTGAAAACATACTGAAAGAAATAGTGACAGAAAACTTCCCCCACCTGGTGAAAGAATTAGACTTACAAGTCCAGGAAGCGCACAGAACTCCAAACAAAAGGAATCCAAAGAGGACCACACCAAGACAAATCATAATTAAAATTCCAAGAGCAAAAGACAAAGAGAGAATATTAAAAGAAGCAAGAGCAAAGAAGTTAATTACCTATAAAGGAGCACCTATACGATTGTCAGCTGATTTCTCAACAGAAACCATGCAGGTCAGATGGGAATGGCAAGAGATATTCAAGGTGATGAATAGCAAGAACCTACAGTCAAAGATAATCTATCCAGCAAAGCTATCACTCAGAATCGAAGGTCAGATAAAGAGCTTCACTAATAAAAAAAAGCTAAAGGAGTTCATCACCACCAAACCAGAATTATATGAATTGCTGAAGGGGGTTCTTTCAGAAGAGAAAGTAAATAAAGATAAAAATTATGAACATCAAATACGTAACTATCAACAAGTGAATCTAAAAACCAAGGAAATTAAAGAACAAACAAACTGATGAACAATATTAACTGTTGAATCTAATAGAATCAGAGGTATGGAAGGGGAGTGAACTGACGATTCTTGGGGAAAAGGGGAGAGGGGGATGTGGGAAGAGACTGAACATAAACTGTGCATCTATGGATGAGGACAATGGGGAGTGGAGAAAGGGCAGAGGGTGGGGTGGGAACCTGGTGGAGGAGAGCAATGGTGGGGGTCGGTGGGGAGAAAGGAACATTTGTAATAATATGAATAAAAATTTATTTTAAAAAATACTCTTTTATTCCTCAGTTTTTTTTAATTCATTTTTGTATTGCACCTCATGATTTTTAAGCAACAAGTTTGAATGAAAACCACAATAAATATCTATTATTCATTTCTTTTTTCCTCTTGTGACATGGTTAAGATTCTTATCCAATTATATATAGACTCTTGGTCAACTGAAGAATTAAATCTGAAGGCTGGCCAAATACTTTTCCCAAGACCACTGCTCTGGACTGCTTGTTCCAACGGTGCCCGAGTCCCCCAGCCAAGGGGGGGACTCACCTGCGCACTCACCTGCATGAGTTCATGGCTTTCTAGAAGATCATGCTCCAGCATCTCCTGGGTGAGGCGCCCCATGGTGCTGTAGAATTCATCTGCCGTTTCACAGCTTTCTATCTGCCTAGAAGCAGAAGGACAGAACAAGGAATTGTGTCGGACCCCCACGCTATCTCCCAGGTACCTGCTCCAGGTCCGACAGAATCTATGGCCCCTAGCCATCACATCAGTAACATTAGCAATCAATAAAAATCAAAATACTGAGACACACTCACCATACGGCCCGCCATATACAGAGAAAAGATTTAAAAAAAATACCCTCGGCATCTCGGAGGTCTTATTATGGGATGAGTTCCCATCTTTCCTGCATGGCTCCCCAGCCTCCAGCCTCCCAGCCCTACCGGTGGCACTTTTACTGCTTCCATGTGACACATTTTACACATCAGAATACCCACCGCTGATGAGAATCATAACCATGAAATTAGATCTGAAGAACAATTATCCCCAGGAGGAAATCTCTTGCTGTTAATCTACAAACCGCGGTCTCACTGATAGACTGAAACCAAACCACAGGAGAAACAAAAGATGAGAAATACTAGAACTTTATCTGCCTATGTCATCAGTCCACAGGATGCTTTCACAGGCAGGATTTTTTTCAGTTCTTCTCAGGGCCCTGCTGCTAGCTGGAGATCGCACCCTGCTTCTTACATTTGTTTCCACATGTAAATAAAGACGCTGTTACCTGGCAACCTGGGAGGCAGGGTACATGTTAATCCTTCTTCTCAAGGGGAAAAAAAACAAAAAGGAGTGGTCCGAAACAAAGAGCACGGTGCATCTGTTCTATCCACCATGACATCCTCTGTGTGGGAGGATGACTCTATTGGCCCACCAACCACAAGATACACTATGATGTACGCTGGGGGATTTTCATAGAGCCCTCCCCCAAAAAATAAGATGATGGGAAAACTTCAGGCTCTGCAGGGCTGTTCAAATCTCACTGCCACAATCAGGTAAATAAATAAATAAACGAGAGGATCTGTTGAGGTGTTATTACAAGAATAAAAAGTAGCATGTGGGTATCAATAAAAATAAAAATAAAATAAAAAAGTGGTTACGTTTACCCTGGTAGATGAGGAAGAGAAATAATGCTGAAGATTAATTTTGAAAAATATTCTCCAGGTTGACAAGGAAAAGTATTTTGATGGCAAGGAAGCAGGACACAGCTGCAGGCCCTACCCAAGAATCTGCAAGTGGCTCCCCAGGGCCAGGATGGAGCCGGGAGAGCTGCAGGGGGAGCGCTGCAGACAGAGGACACAGAAGGACTCACCTCCAGCTGAGCCCCTTCAGGGCAACCATCCCTGGAAGGCTCCGAATGGGGAGTGTGGGGACAGGTATGCCCTCGGCAAGGTCAGCCTGGAGGCCATGGCAAGGGTGGGTGTGATGGGGAAACCAGGGAAGACACACCGAGACACACCAAGACAGGCCAGGCATGAGGTCAAGAGGGAACGAGCCAGAGCAGCAGGGTCAGAGGAGAAAGGACACGCAAAAGAGATGTCATGGAAGGTGAGCTGATGCTCTACAACTTACATATTCTAAAAGTACCCTCGGTGTGAGTGAGAGGGAGGCATTCAAGTTGCAGAAGCTAAGGGAAAGGAGAGGTCCTATGGATAACCATACACAGGGCACATACGTTACTCCGGCATGTATGCCTGGAGATTACCTATCTGCTGCTTATGATTTTCCCAAGGGACAGTTTGTGGGGAAGAGCACGGGCCCTGGAGTCAAAAAGATCCAGGTTTAAGTCTCACCTACATCACAGGGCTATGGACAGGATGAATGAGACCATGTGTTTACAATGTCTAAGGAAATGATGGCACTATAGGCATTTGATGAATGTTGGTCGCCTTTCCTTCTGCTTAACAAGTTGCACACTCAAAACATGTAGAATTATAGTGAACAAAGCCTCCGAAACACTTAAAATTCTTCCAGTCTGATCCATATATCCTCTGAACTGCATAAATAGTAGCCATATATTATCAGTATATTCACATTATTAAAATCACATATTCCAGAGCCAGGGAACCTGGATTCAATCACAGGCCCGTCCACTTCTAACAAGGGTGGACAATTAACTCCTCTGTGCCTCAGCTCCCACATCTGTAAAATGGGGATAATAGTAGGACCTACTCATAGGATGATGGTGAGTACCAAAGGAGTTAGTTTTACATGTAGAGTCCTCAGAGCAATGCCAGTCCATTGCAAGCACTCAATGAATACTGGATTTAAAAGTGTAGCCATTACCTTTTCAACAATGTGACATTCCTGGAATGACAATATGACTAAATTCTAATCCTATAGATAATGAATAGATGGGAATAAAACCAGAATCACCTCTTCCCTCCTGCCACATAATCAAGAACCAATCCAAGGTGACTGTAACTGAGTCAGCATACAGTAAAGGGCTTTACTATTATAACCCTACTAGAGGCCCAGTGCACGACATTGTGCACTGGATGGTGGTGGGGAGGGGTTCCTCAGCTGGCCTGAGCCCTTTCACTGTCCAGGAGCTCTGTGTCCAACTGCCACTGAGGTGGGAGAGGCTCCTGCTCTTGCCAGCCATGAGCCCAGCTTCTGGCTGAGTAGTGCTCCCCCTGTGGGAATGCACTGACCACCAGGGGCAGCTCCTTTGTCGACCATCTGCCCCCTGGTATGTCATAGAGACTGGTCATTCTGCCCTTTGGTCAATTTGCATATTACCCTTTTATTATATAGGATGAGCTAGTTACTCAGTAACTGGACTATCACACCTACAGAAACTATCAAAACTCAAAGAACTTACAAGGTGTAGAGTAGATTGGAAGTACACTACTACAAAAAGAGGTAGATAATGAGAGAAATTGAAAAAGATAAGCAAAGCTCTGGCCAGTTTGCTCAGTTGTTAGAATGTCAGCCTGTGGACCGAAAGGTCAAGGGTTCAATAACAGGTCAAGAGCATGTACCTCAACTACAGGCTAAATCCCTACCCCAGTCAGAATGCTGGAGGCAGCCAATCATTGTGTTACTCTCACACAATATTTCTCTCCCCTCCTCCCCCCACCCCTTCTCTTTCCCTCCAGCTCTCTCTTAAAAAAAAAAAAAAAATATCCTCAGGTGAGGATAAAAAAATAAAAGATAAATAGCAAACCAAATCTCCCACCAATGAATTTATTTGATATTGAAAAGTAACCTACAATAAAACAATTGTAGGAGCTCTGGGATGTTTAAAATATACACAATCATGATTTTTTTTTAAATCCTTGAATCAATAGTTTGGTGTATCTTTCTTACAAAAAAAAAATTAAAAATGCTTCAAGTCTCCCAGAAAACAATTTATACATTAAAAGGCTAAAAGGCTTTTGAAATAAAACACTGTCAGTAAGCTCTAGCAGGTTTGGTTCAATGGATAGAGCCTTGGCCTGGGGACTGAAGGGCCAGGTTCCATTCCAGTCAAGGGCATGTACCACCGTTGCAGGATTGGTGGGCACATGCAAGAGACAACCAATAGGTATGTTTCACTCATATTGATATTTCTGTCTGTCTTTCCCTCTCTCTTCCACTCCTTCTAAAAATCAATGGGAAAATATCCTCAGGTAATGATTTGAAAAAACACACCAAACTTCTGACACACACAAAAAAACACCTCTGTATCTTAAGTTACCACTGTAACAATTTCATCCTAATACAGGGATTGGCAAAAGTAGATTTACTGTTGTTCATTGGAAAATAATACAATAATCGTACCTAATAATACACAATCATGTAAATTGACCGTACCTCTGTTATGCTACCAGCCAATCAGGAGTATATGCAAATTAACTCAACAAAGATGGTGGTTAATTTGCATACATAGGCGCTGAGTGATAGGGGCCCCACCCCAGGTCTCTCAGGGCCTCTGGGCAGTGTGGGAAGGCGGGGCCGGAGCAGAAAGAGGCAGCTCCCAGGCCTGAGCAGAAAGGGGCTGGGCCGAATGGAAAGGTGGTGCCAGCAGCCAGGGAAAGGAAAGCCCATTCTAGCATGAATCTTCATGCATCAGGCTTCTAGTTAATAAATAATAACACAAGAATAAACTGTTTCACCTACCTACAACTGTAAACCTACTTTTGCCCACCCCTGTATTTTTCAGCCCAGCTGCTCGTAAAGAACGTAAGTAAAATCTCTTTAGTGATGCGTTTGGTAGTAATAGATTGCCCCACACAGTGTTAATTCTTGATGAAAGGAAAGAAGTTGCCCATGTTCTACTGACAATGTACCAAGCACCTTGCTAGACACTATATATATATATATATATATATATATATATATATATATATATAACCTCATTAAATTTCATCACAGCCCTAAAACGCTGGACACAATAAATAATAAGGATTCAAACATAATCCAAATTGTGACATTAACCAACAAATCCACCTACTTCTTTCCGGACCTCACAGTTCCTCATGCACCTCAGTCTCCCTCTTCAAAACTAGTGTCCAGAGAAATGCTGACAAAGAGTAAGCCAGCTGGACAAACACTGGGAGGAGGAGAAGGAGAAGAATTCCAGGCCTGAACAAGCCTGCCCCCTTCTCTAAAGTAGATGCCATCTGTCCCCAACAATCAAGAATGTGTCAGCAGGGGAGGTGAGTGGGAAGCCATCAACCAATGAATGTGTATGCATATATGCATAACCCAGGAGCACAGACAGGGGGTGGTGAGGGCCGGGGTGGGGAAGGACGATGGGAGTAGGCTGGAAGAGGTTAATGGGGGAAAGGAGGACCTATTAATACTTTCAACAATAAAGATTAAAAGAAAAAGAAAAAAAGAATGTGCCAGCTGAGATCCAGAAGACTAAAGCCACTGCATAAAGTTCACAGCTTCCTCCTTTCCTCATGCTTAATCATCGGTGCTTTACACGGTAGAGCGTAAAAAAACGGCTCACGGCCCCAACACCACAGAACAGAAGAGAAGGGGCAGTCACTTACTCTCCCAACTTCGCCCAGATGGCCAGCGACACCCTTAGGATGATTTCTGAACCTTCAAAAAAGACGGAATCCCAGATCTTTAAAACGGTGTGGTTAGGGAGGCAGGTGGCGAAGAGAGTCAGGAACCACTGCATCGTGAAGACATTCGTGAGCGGGGGCTCGTATCCACCTGCAATGAAGCAAACACTCCATTTCTTCAGAATGGACAGTTTGCAAGACAGAAAGGCGCCCTCGTTCAGCCTCCCAAGTCCACCCTACTTACTGTGTTCCTCTTCTGACTGATTTGTTTATGGGGCTAAACTATGGTTCTTTCCTTTCTTCCCCCCTTTTTCTAGAAGAACATAGGTATGTTTAATAAAGATCTCAGTGATATGAACTTCACAAATTCTTTATGGTACTTCAGAAATCTTAACCTAATGCTTAATTTGGTTTTACCTATTATGGGATGCTGAAAATTAAGGAGAATGTTTTCCTCACCTAAAACGAGATTAAAAAAAAAAAAAGATTTTAGTCCCTCAAAAGCAAACACTGATTTCCAAAATATCCTAAAGCCCATTTTTATTCAAATGCTGCTCAAAAAAGTAAAATTGCTCATTAGGAATTGCTTGTCTACTTCTTAAAGTATACATAGTTCTCAGACCACAGTGGAATCAAACTACAAATCAATTAGAGAAAAATAGCTGGAAAACCCCCAAATATCTAGAGGTTAAAATTCTAATTTTAATTCTAAATTCTGAACAAACCTGACCCCTTCTCTAAAGTAGATGCCATCTGTTCCCAACAATCAAGAATGTGTCAGCAGGGAGGGTGAGTGGGAAGCCATCAACCAATGAATTTGTATGCATATATTTAATGTGATAATGTATATAAGGTGTCTAGCAAAGTGCTTGATATGTAGTTTCATTAAAACATGAAATTTTAAAATATGTTGAACTAAACTACACAGTTTTAAACATCTGAGATCCAGCTCACTTTGAAGTTTCTAAATTCACTAAAAAACACATAGCTTCCTCTCATTTTCTGTGATGGCATAAGTATGTATTTTAACGAAATAAATTTTAGATATGGGGACTGCTTCTCCCTCCTAATTACAGTCAGAATATGCATTTACCCAAGTATAAGCAAAAGAGATCTCTCCTGCCCTCGTTTCCTTCCTTCTCACCTAGGAGCAAAGGGAGCATCTCTCCCCAGAGACTAGAATCTGAGGTCGCCCCTTGCAGGCCAATGCAGAGCACTTGGGGAACAACATGGACCCCAGTACAGCGTGTCTGACTATGGGACAGATCAAGGTTGTCCGACCCGGGAATCTTATGAAATCCACACAGGTGCATAATTATACTGCACAGCCAAATTAAATAAGAAGATTATTCAAATCACTTAGAAGGAAATGCTTAGAGACACCCAGGTGTCACTAAAATTTCCAGTGTATTTTAATCATAGATTAGGTCCTCAAAATCATTTACTATTTTCCTAGGCTTAAATGTGTGGCCAGTAACTAGCAACCATTTACAGAAAACAATACACTCTGACTCTTCTTTCTGGTCCCTGAGCACAGCCAAGAAAGTGCAAGCAGGGTGTAACTACAGCACTAGCTTAGGTCATCCGGGAAGCTGGCTGATGCCTGCTGGAGGCGGTGACTCTCAGAGCTGAGGTAGAGCTGTCTCCATCGCCACCTAACCCAGCCCAGCACCTTCCTTCAGGTTTTGAGTTCTTCCTGGAGCTCCTTCTCCAGCAAGAACTGGCCCATTCATCTCAAGTAAATCTGCATACCCTTAGCATGATTCAATAAAGGTAACATTAAACATTTCAATTCAAATTATCTCCTACAGCTTTATGAAAATACATATTCCACTTTTCCATAACCTCAGTGCTACAGGAAAAACCACAGTGTGTGCTAAATGGTACATGCGGCTCAGCTTTAAAATGCCTATAAACCTAGAGTTTAACTCAATGGCAAGGCATGTACACCATTCTTCATCTAAAAGACAGCAGATTTAGTGGTTGATCTGGTACTGATGACGTATGAGGTTCTTGACCAATTTCCTAACTATGACCATTCAAGGGTTCAATATGTGGCCCTATGTTAGTTTTTTGTTTGTTTTGTTTTGTTTTGTTTCCATTCTCTAAAAATCTATTTCATAGCATCAAACTCTCATCAACAGAAATATTTGAAAAGATATATTTCCGTTCCAGATGGAGTCAGAGAAGTAAACAATTTCAAAGGTATAACAGCATTGAGTCATCACTACCTCCGCTCTCCTTGTTTGCAGTTCTCTGAAGAGTGTCCAGGTGCTCAGATAATTCAGGGAGCTTCAATCTCAAGAGGTCTCTGAAGACAGCCATATCCACAGACAATGCCCGGAGGTTATTGACAAAATAGCTCTCGGGAAGTACCTTATCAATAAGGTAAATCATAATCTGAAGAAAAAGGTAGAAAACATATTTAAATGGATAAAATGCAGTTAGCTAAAGCACACTATCATTCAAATGTGTCAATACCAAATGTTCTGGATCTTCGAGGCTCATCTCCACCCTGGGTGAAGAGCATGTGCCGTAATTATCTAGATAATGCATAATTATCTAAGTAAGTTATCAAAGCAGCTCAGACTCACAGACTGCTACGGTCTACAATTTCTACATGGGCTGCTAGGCCTGAGGCTACCCATGAGTGACTGTGATCAGACAACCCTCAGCCTCGCTCTGAGAAGTACGAGATGGAGCACACGCTTCAGCAGCAGCCAGCAGGAATCCCACCACTGGCTCCTTGAAGTCAGCAGTTTCCCAACTTGACTACGAAAACCAAGACTGGCCCATCACAAAATGCCCCCTGAAGACGGTCTCAGGATTCACTTACCCTCAACCTGAGTTATCAGAATACCTCATGTGGGTTCTTTGTCCACTTTCCTTTCCTGGGAGAATGCAACAAGGTTTTGTTTGGACAAATGATACTTTTAAAATCTGGATTCCTTCCTAAGGGTGTCTCATACTAAGTTCTTCAAATTACTATTTTCATTCTGATTTTTTTTTTTTAATTTGCATTACCTTTTCTAAGAAATCAAGATCCTCTAGAATGGGCCAACAAAACACATGTTCTAATCTCTGATCCCTTCCCTGTCAGCACATATGCTCTTCATATGCCCTCCCTGCTAGAAGACCTGCTAATCTCCAGAGCACAAAAAAACCAAAATTGAAAACAAAATCACAGCTGGCCCTACATGTGGAAAGGAGCTGTCTCACATTTTGATTTTCATCATTTTGCAAAACCTAATTTCCCCAAAAAACTATCTCCCAGACAGCCAATAGCCCATTTCCTCCTCATCTTTGGCTTATAATCTCTACTTTTAAGGTGAGAGTTTTAACTAAGTCAATAAAGATAGAGACATAGTCTCAAGAAACACCCTCTACTCATCTCTTCTCTCCCCACCCCCCACCCCCTGCTCCCTTTGAGGCCTTCATTCCAGCAATTAGAAGGCTCAGGGAGCTGCTATAGCCTTCCTATATAGGGAATTTACCAGGTAAAAGTATCATCACTCTGAAAATGGTAATTTAGCAATAAAAAGAGTATATTCAATCCGTGTCAAGGGAGGAAGTCTCGAGTGCCCAGGCCAGGTGAGCGGGGAGTGAGTTTCCAGCAGAGCACAGAGCCCGGGCAGACTTCGCACGCCATAGGTAAGGAGAGGAGGACATCAGGATCACTTTTCACCAAAGGTAAATTATATAAAACTGAGAGAATACTTAAGTTTTTATGAAAAAATTATGAACCTCAAGATTACAAGAAAACAACAAAAATACTAATTCTCATAGTAATTCTGCGACACAATAAAATTCTCTATCCAAAAGCATCTCAAAGTCAGATGTAAGACATAAGAGCAGGCTATGTCTTATATCAGCAACATCACTCCATCCACTACTGTATTTCAAAGACCAAACATTGCATCTTAAAAAAAAAAAAAAAAAAGGAAGGAAGGAAGGAAGGAAGGAAGGAAGGAAGGAAGGAAGGAAGGAAGGAAGGAAAGAAGGCAAGCAATAGAACAAAGATAGTCTCTTCAACAAATGGTGCTGAGACAACAGAACATCCAAATGCAAAACAAATAGAATACAGACACAAACCTTACACCCTTCACAAAAACTGTATCAACAGAGATCATAAACTTAAATGTAAAAGGCAATACTATAAAATTCCTAGATGATAGCATAGCCTAGATGATCTTGGGTATAGGAATGACTTTTTATTTTATTTTTTTATTTAAAATATATATTTTATTGATTTTCTACCAAGAGGAAGAAAGAGGGACAGAGAGCTCGAAACATCGATGAGAGAGAATCATCGACCAGCTGCCTCTTGTACACCCCCTACTGGGGATGTGCCCAAATCCAAAGTACATGCCCTTGACTGGAATCGAACCTGGGACCTTTCAGTCCGCAGACCAATGCTCTATCCACTGAGCCAAACCGGTTTCCGCAGGAATGACTTTTTAGATATAACACAACACCAAAGGCATAATCCATGCAGGAAATACTAATAAGCTAGACTACATTAAAATTAAAAACTTCTGCTCTGTGAAAGTGAATTAGAAGACAAACCACAGTCAGGGAGAAAATACTTTCAAGAGATCCATCTGATAAAGGACTGTTGTCCAAAATACACAAAGAATTCTTAAAATTCAATAATAAAAAAACAAATTTTAAAAACAAACAAAAAAACCAACTCGATTAAAAAATACCCAAAAACCTTGACACCTCACCAAAAATAAAACAATTACTAAGTGCAAAGAAAGCAAAAAAAATGAAAATGGTTTGCCTCCATTTAATAAATTATATATTTCATTACTAATTACAACTTGCAGAGGCCAAAATAGCTGTTGGAAAAACACCAACACCCAATATTTTCCTTTGCATCGGAAGTGTTTCTTCATAAACCCAACCTTTCCCTGCACATTAATTGCCTAACCCAAATTCTAAATGATGATAATGTCATTTCATTCCACAAAGTTCATTTTCTTAAATATTCTGTTTCTGAGCTTTATTTAATCCATTGTTTTATGTGACTTTTTACTTTCTCAAGTACCATCACTGAGTCATTTCATGATGTGATTGGCATTATAACCCTTTCCCCAAACCTTCCCACCCCAACCCCAACCTGAACTTTTTATTTCAGATTTTCAACAGAACAGTTCCCATTTTATAGTCATACAAGTAAAATCGTGTGTGTGTGGGGGGGGGGGAGAGGAGGGGAAGGCAGGAATCACTAAATCTGATAGCCTAAGTACAACAAAATTGCTTCTTAATAAAAAATGTTTTAAAGTCATGAATTTGATTTGTCACTGCCTCCCCCCCCCCCTCCCGCCACCGCTGCCTATTTGATGAACAAGTGGCTTCAAAGCTGTTTCCTTAAATACGTGAATGGAAAAAGTGAGAGAGTGAATACAGATTGAGATCGTGTCAGGCTTTATAATTAATTTCATATAATGTGTATGAAACGGAGGAAATTTGCTTATCTTTCTATATCAGAATTAGTCAGTGGTTGCAAGTATCACAATGGTATTTGCCACAGTCAAACAAAGAATGGGAGTGGGGGAAGGTGCTCTTGAATACAATGACTAGGTAATCATCACATCCACCACAAAGCATTGCAATCAACAGCAGTCTGGGGATTCAAGAAGAAGCAACCCCTTCCCGGATCGGTTTTGCTCAGTGGATAGAGCATTGGCCTATGGACTCAAGAGTCCCAGGTTCAATTCCGGTCAAGGACATGTACCCTGGTTGTGGGCACATCCCCAGTAGGAGGTGTGCAGGAGGCAGCTGATAGATGTTTCTAACTCTCTATCCCTCTCCCTTCCTCTCTATAAGGAATCAATAAAATTTTTTTTTTTTAAAGAAGCAATCCCATTCTGCCCCAAGCAAGGGGTCATCTTCCAAATATAAATGCTTCATTCCTCCTGAAGACTTATTTCTAGTGATTCACTGAATCACATTCAGACCTACATGTTTAAGCTGTTAGTGTCCCATCTCAAAGTGTTTTCAGAATTTATTTATTTATTTATTTATTTATTTATTTATTAACTAATAAAGGCTCTAGACATCAAAGATTAAAATATTAACTGAAACCGGTTTGGCTCAGTGGATAGAGCGTCAGCCTTCGAACTGAAAGGTCCCAGGTTTGATTCCGGTCAAGGGTATGTACCTTGGTTGCGGGCACATCTCCAGTAGGGAGAGTGCAAGAGATAGCTGATCAATGTTTCTCTCTCATCAACGTTTCTAACTCTCTATCCCTCTCTCTTCCTCTCTGTAAAAAATCAATAAAATATATTTTTTAAAAGATTAAAATATTATTTGCTTCCATAGCCTTTCTCCAAGCAAACTGCTTCCATCATAGACATTTACTCTCAGCCTATCTCCTCCATACCTCATCTCAGATATGTGAGAATAAAGCAATCTAATGAGATCCAACTAGAATTTAGGATAACTGGTGGAGTAGGCAGTTTCCACTATGACTCTAGGGATTCCCCACATCCTGAGAGTAATACTCTTATATTAACCCTTTCCCTGGAGCATGGGCTGGACCTAATGACTGGCTCCTAATGAACAGAATGTGGGGAAAATGATGAAATGTGACTTCTGATATAGAGGCTTCACCTCTGTAACTTAATCTCTTCTGTGTTGTTCACTCTCTTTCACTCTCATGTTCATTGAGGGATACCAACCAGAATGTTGCACAATGGTGAACTCCACAAAGTGAAACTAAAAAAGGGCTCTAATAGCCAACAAGTTCAAGACCTGTGAGGAATTAAAGTTTTCCAGCAACCACATAAATGAACTTGGAAGTAAATGTTCCCACCTAGTGGGGCCTTCAGATGAGACCACACCCCAGCCAACAGTTTGAATGCCAGAATCATGTGACTCAGCCAGTTAAGCCATGCCCAGATTCCTAACTTAACGAAACAGTGAGGTAATACCAAGTTTGCTGTTTTAAGCAGCTAATTTGTTATGCAACAGTAAGTATTAATATAATTAATAACTAACTTGCTTTAAAAATAGATGCCTTATAAGTGAATCTAAACACCTAATGATCCTCTTCACATTTGGTAGCTGCATGAGTCTGTCACTTGGCCTGGCTTTAACCTAGGAGAAACGGTATCATGGGTAATTAAGAAGGTGCGGCAAACACCTTGGAAGAAAGTGGCATCAGAGAAGAGAAATTATAGTTCCAATATTTAACTCTCTGAAGAATTTCAGCTGCCTTCTTCAGAGCCTGATACTCACTTTCAGAGCATCCCCTTCATTGCCTTCCACCACTTCCAGAATTAGTGCAGCCAGGATGTTAAAGCCTTGGCAGTAACCAACATTCTTGTTCCATCGGGCATAGGCCAACAGGACCCGCTTCAACACAACCCTGTCTTGCTCTGCCTCCTGGCCACAGTAAGAACTGCAGCCTGTGCGGTGAAGATCCTAAATAAGAGGAAAACAGTAATTTTTGGAGTCACTACTCTCTCTCTCTCAAAACCAAAAAATAAAAACAAAAACCCTAGTTATTTCTTTGCCTCAGCATTAAGTAGATTATCAACATGGACTGTAGTATTTTTTTTAATTGTATATGCAACCTGGGTCAAAAGAAATTCTTTTTTTTTGCCTAATATTATCTAATATACTTACACACTTTCAAGAAGAATTACAGTCAGGCCAATTTTCTACTTCAAATGTTTCCAGAATTAACACAAAGAGGGATTTAGTATTAATAAAATTTCATATAAGTTGGCAGTTTATTTAATAATATATCTGAAATAAAACAAGTCATTTCAATATGTATGATACATGCCAACATTATTTCTTTCTATAAAAAAAGGATATAAAGTTTATTTAGCTATCAAAACTCCAAATAGTATTAAGGAGCAAAACCAAAATCACAGAAAGTACAACCTGTATTGTAGAGATACAGAAAACTCATTCTACCTAAAACAGAAAAATTATTCTATCCAAATTGTTTTATAAATGTGTGTCAAACAGACAAAAAATTAACATTTAATAAGGGCAATATCCATAATTTTATTACCAGGATAAAATTTCTGTGAGGACTATGACTGCCCCAAGCCCCAGAGACTATGATTCTCAGGAGCTGAAGTCATTTTACTGATATAGTATTCACTTCAATGATAAAATAAAAGACCCTCTTAATAATGTGATGGATACAAAATGTGCATTGCCTTAATTTACAATTTAAACAGAAATAAAATATTTCAAATATGCAATACTTCATCTGTGAGAAACACATTCTGAAATTCTAAACAGCTGAAATGTCAAAATGTAAAGGCTTTTCAAGCATACCATATAAAATTCCATATATATTTTTACCATTTGTCTGAAACAGACAAAATTAGACCAGAAAGTAGCTCCTTTTAGTTAGTACTTCCTCCAGAAAAAAAAAAAAATCACTTCAAATCTGCCAAAACATTAGCCATCTTGTGGTGACCAAAATTTAGATGAAACAAGTTTCCTTTTAAAACCACAGCCTCGTGTCACACTGTGATGTACTCATATAAAATTAAAGCACATGCTGCAGGATTATGTAAGAGAATAACAGGGAGATCAAATCGAATCAGCAGCTTTGGCACCAGGTTCTAACCAACTGCAATAATCCAGGTAGACAAACCACCGCTGCCTCCAGAGCTAGTCTGAACCTAACCAGCTAATGTATTAGATTGACCTATCAATCAATCTAATTATATTCATAAATTGACAGTTAAGAAATTATCAAAGACCCTAATAAGAGCCCAATTATTATAATAGGAGTACCCTTAACTTTATTTTTATGTGAAAATTCAGTTAACATCACTGACCAGTGCTAAAAATAAATTCATCTTCTGTCATGTGAACAAGTAAGTTGAATCTGAATGGAAACATTTTATTCTTATTGGCAAGATACAAACTTTTGAAGACAATGTATATAGTCAAAGTTCTTCATTAAAAAGCTATTAACTAAAGAACAGAAAATATTCAGACATTCAGACCATAAGGCTTGATGCTCCTCTACCCAAGAAACATCTGGCTTTTAGAATCTTCCTTCTAAGTTAGGACAGCAGACCAAGCTCAGGGGCATTACCTTGACTATCTGAATTCCCATGGAGTCATCATCCGGATTACTCCTTTCATTGAAAGTGAAGCGCAAGGTTTTGTCCCAATCAATGGCTATACTGTGCAAATAATGATCTGCCAAGGTCAACCAAACCTAAAATGTGAATAAAGAAGAATGCTAAAGTCAAATACATAATTTCACCTTTACTAGGACTAGTTATTGCATGCAACAAGAAAATGGGAACTGTTCCTAGACCAGAAATAGCCACATGCAGAAATCCAGAAGAGCCTCATTGAGATGTGTATTGTACTGAATTCATCAATTAGAACCTTTCATGTGTTCAAAATTTCAATTAACATTTGTTGAGTTCCACTATGTACGAAGCAATAGTCCTAACATTAGGAATACTGTTAATTTTTTTTCAAATTATATTTCAGTTCATTGAATTAGCTATATTATGTTACAAGCTTGTTATATTTAACTCTGAATTGTTGTCTCTGCTTGAGCAATAGCCACCTGGCAACTCATGGAAAAGGGGCCTTTTCTCACTATGACGTGGTCTCTGCTTTAAAATCATCTCTCTCTCTCTCTCTCTCTCTCTCTCTCTCTCTCTCTCTCTCACACACACACACACACACACACACACACACACACACACATCAATTAACACAACAGATGAGCTCCATAATAAATAACTTCTAACATTTTTGAGTCAAAGGAAATTTTTACACATTATCTTAAAAAGTTGTTTCTAAAAGATGTATTTCTTAATGTCATTTTTAATGTATATTTTGAGGAACCCCCGATATTCAAATTCTAGCAGAATTAGACTAGGTCTATAAATTGATATAACAAGAGAGCACTTCAAGTTTTGGTATCTGGGCATAGTTAGCAGGAATATCACTGATTAATGTCTCCACTCAGACTTCTCTCCTAAGCATCAGAATCATATGTCCAAATGCCCATTTGACACCTTTAACTTAGATATCTAATAGGTATCTTAACCTTAATAGATACAAAGCCGATCAGCTAACCCATCCCCACCTCAACTACCCAAGCACACGTATGAGCACACACATCTGCTCTTCCCATCTGAGTAAATGGTAACTCTCCCCTTCCAGTAGCTCAGGTCAAAATCGTGAAGTCATTGTTGTCATCCTATTACCTCATCTTCAATCTAATAGGAATTCATGTCAACTCAGCCTTGAAAATATACCTAGAATCAGACCCCTTGCTCCATCTCTTGCCTAAATTATTATAAGCCTCTACTAGTCTCCCACTTCTGTCCTTGTCCCTCATCTTCTCAAGTTAGTGGTCAGAGTGGTCCACTTAAAATATAAGTTGTATCATGTAATTCCCCTGCTCAAAACTACCGAATGCTTCCCATCTCACACAGAGCAAAGTCCTACTATGGCCTACAAGGTCTTACATGATCTGCCATCCTCCTCACCCCTTAACACTACCTCTATGACCCTTTCTCCTATTGCTTTCCCCCTTTTCACCGTGCTTCGGCTACCCTGTCCTTTTGCATTTGCTTGTATATTCCTGAGTGTTTTGTGGCACACTCTTCCCCAGGATAGCTGCATGGCCCACTGCTCACCTCCTTCAAGGCCCCATTTAAATGTCACTTTGCTGTTTAAAATTTCACCTCCTTATCACCATTTCCCACAGTTTCACTTGTTTTTCTGCTTTATTTTTATCTGTGACACTTATCACCATCTGACATGCTTTATATTTTATTCACTGTAACCTCCGTAAGTACAAACATTTTGGCCTGGTTTTTCTTTCCACTGCTATATCCCCTGTACCTAGGACAGTACCTGGTACAGAATAAATAATCAATAAATACTGAATGAATGAATAATGAAAGGGGACATGTTTCAAATTGCTAGATTTAGAATGTCATTTTTTACGTTCCAGAGATTTAAAGAGGGACAGAGTGATGGCCCTTTTGTATTTCAGCCCTACAAATCCTCCTTACCTTTCTCCTCCATTCTTTTGGTATTCCTGTTGATAGTCTGGCAACTGCCTTGAGAGCATCATACCACTAGGAACAAAGAAGAAATACTGGCAAAATGATGCTATTGACCTGGGTAAGCATTTTTCAATCTTTTTTTCATCTTGACATCTGTAGACCATAAACTTTGTACAGCACACTGGGGTAACAGTCAACACCAGATATGACTGGTGTGAGTACTATGACTGCCCCAAGCCCCACCTTGAGCACCCTTAACACACCTGTGATCCATCTGCAATCCACGAACAATAATTGGGAAGCACTGGTCAGAACCAAAACATGTATTATGGATTCAGAATAGTAAATGTTTAGTTTCGTAAATTTTTTCACACTTGCACCATTAATAGAAAATACAAAAATTTTCATGGGAAGTATAAACCCAAGTGTCATCTATGTTTTAAAAATGACTTGTCTTCTTATTCTTGTCAAAGTTTTCCCATTTTGAGAATATGTCTCAGCATATATCCTTTAGATACCCCCAAAAGAAGAATATTATCAAGACCAAAAATAAAATTACCTGCTGAAAACCATTTTGACCTAAAGACGGCTCAAGAGTGAACTTCAACTTGGTATCAACTCCTAAAAGAAAAACACATAACTGTTACTTTGGGAGAAAATAAGTTATGTCAAAAATAGAAGTAAAAATTAACTGAACCATCATGAAGTTTTTTAAACTATTACTAATTTTTAGTCAATTTTGTTGAAGAAAAAGAATATTGGTTATTACATAGAAAAAATATCCTATGGTAATAATATGGAGCTTTCCCCCTAAGATGGTGGGTTGCACAGCTGTTCCTAGAGTCAAATAAATAATTTAACCTGCCTCAATCTCAATTCTTTTTTCTTTTCTTTTTTAATCCTCACCCGAGGATATTTTTCCATTGATTTTTAGAGAGTAGAAGAGAGGGAAAGACAGAAATATCCATATGAGAGAAACACATCAATCAGTTGCTTCATGCACATGCTCCAATCAGGGCCCAGGTGGGGGAAGAGTCTCCAATCATGGTATGTGCCCTTGACCGGAATCAAAACCAGGACCCTTCAGTGCACAGGCCAATGCTCTATCTACTGAGCCAAACTGGCTAGGGAAGTCTCAATTCTTTATCTTTAAAATTAGGATCAATAATACTTATCTCAGTAGACAGTTGTGATGATTAACTGTAAATCACCTAGCCTTGTTTAATTAATATTTATGAAACTTAGGAAGAGAATTCTCTACTTACAGAATTTGTTTTCTAGGGCATTTGAATGATTTGTGTCTATTAGGGAAATGTCAGTGGAGTATCAAAAGTTATAAAAATAATGTCATTGCCTTCCCAATTATGTAATCCTTAGTAGTCCTATTGGAGATTTCCATGTTTTTAAATTATGTCTTCATAAACTTAGCTATTGAAGAAAAGAAAAGTTTGTATGTTTAATTATAGACTACAAGCTAAAAATATAACTGAACTCTAATGCTAAGTTACCTACAACTTTAGAGATAAAGTTCCAAAGTTTTAACTTTATTTTGGAACTTCTCTGCTCCAAATCCCAAATCTATGGAATTGAAGTATATAAATAGGAGAACACATAAAGGCTATATGTTTGATATTTATATTGGTGTGGTTTTTTTTTTTATTCCAGAATTCCATGTTAGAAGCATATGTGCTGTCATTATTGAGGTAAAATTAAAGGACAATTTTTATCCCTACTTCAATTGTATTTTAAAATAATATAATCAAATCTAAAAATGCTATATATTCTTTTTCTACAATTTCAAATTCAATGCAATTACATTTTAAGTCACTTTTTAAAAGATTTGACTTAAAAGCTCAAGGATCAAAATATACCAAACATTAACCAGAGCATTCAGTTTTACAATTTATGATTGCGTTTATGATGAAATGTTTGCTTCTAAGATGTTGATAGCCAATTAGGCATACTGAAAACCTCTCCACAACTAAGTTGGGCTGGCACGTGGGTAAGAACACCTTCAGAATTTGCAAAATTATAATAATAAAGTAGACCTGTCTTTTCAAAAACATATATATACGGAGGCAAGAAGCTGGAAAGAGATGTGTCTAACCTTCCCAAGCCCAGGAAAGTATGCAGATGCCCTCGGTGGACTCCTGGAAGAAGGCTGTGAATGCATGAGATGGGTCCCACATTTCTAAGGTCAAGCTGTGGTAGAGAAACCCAAGATACCTCTTTTTAAAGCTTCAGGTTCAAAACCAAACTGTATGGGTAGATAACATTTTCTCCCCCCAGTATATATTCAGCACCTCCCACAGATTCTCATCTCTCCGGGTTGGTCTAGAGGCAGCCCAGGCCTCAGTGCCCAGAAATGAAGCAATGGGCACAAGAGTGCCTCCAGCTCCAGCGCAGGATTTAAGGCTGGAAGAAACACAGCCGGTGGTGCGGTTGCTGTCCAGACCCAGGGTGCTGAATGGAGGAGGTCTAGTCATGACGTTTGCTGTAGTATAACAAAGACCAGGAAGTTCGGTCCGCACAGAATGATTTCTATCGACCCGAAAAGCCCGGATTCCCTGGATCTATTCCCCAAAATACTCCTCGGACTTTTTCGGAGCACCTGCCGAGAGTCCTGCCGAGTGCCCGGCGGCGCTGACATCAGCTGGCATTAGTCAAAACCTCAACTATTTTCTCCTGGTCAGAAATGAGTCACAGGCTTGAACTAGAATTGATCATTTGCTGCCTATAGGCAAAACAAAAACAAGAACAAAAAAAAACCCTCAAATCAGGTCATTTTAACCGATTCGCCAAACTGCAGCTCACGAGCCACATGCGGCTCTTGGGCCCCTTGAGGGTGGCTCTTCCACAAAATACCACGGCCTGGGCGAGTCTATTTTTGAACAAGTGGCATTAGAAGAAGTTTAAGTTTAAAAAATTCGGCTCTCAAAAAAAGTTTTCAATCATTGTACTATTGATATTTGGCTCTGTTGACTAACGAGTTTGCCGACCACTGTAAGTGAATGAAGTGTGTGGGGAAGGGGGGGAGGGGAGAGAAGGTTTATATTTTATCTGATCATCACAGCTGTTCCGGGTTCAGAAATACAAAACACTTCTCATGTGGGAAGGAGGTTTTTTTTTGTGTGGGTTTTTTTTTTTTCTTAAAGGGCAAAGTAAGACGGTGAAGAAACACTACAGTTTCTGTAACTAGACACTTCCTTGGGGAGAAAAACAAAGGAACCACGAGGTTCGGAAAGGCAGCCAGGCTTTCCACCCTTTGGGGGCTCAGGGCCGTGGCAGATTCTCCCCTGCAGCCTCAGGCTAGCAGGTCTCCGAAGGCGCTGGGAGGCAGGGACTGGGGGGAAGGGGCTGGGGAAGGTCCACCCCGCCGGGAACCAGCTGGTGGCACCCAGGGGCAGGAGAGCGTAAGCACCGGGCAGCGGGCGCAGCTGGCTCCCTCTGCGGCCACCCGGCCAGGAAGCTCTGAGCCCAGGCTCCCGCGCCAGGGCCGGGCTCACAAAGCCCCGGGGAGCGATGCCGGCTGGTGGAGCAGGCGCGGAGCCACGCAGCCTGGAGAAGCAGGGATGTGTCCACACAGGCTGACAGCAACAAGGGCCTAGCCTGGCACCGTCAGGTGCGCTCCCAGACTTTCCCTGTAAGAAAGCATCTCTAGGCTGCATAAGTGTTCCCTGCCCGCTCCGAACCCGGGCACACTCAGGAGAGGCTCCAGGCGAGCGGACCCCGGCACTCACACCGCGGGACCCTCAGCAAATTCCTCCCCTCTTACCGCCACCCTCTCCCTCCCCCCCCCCCCCGGTCCCCCGCCGCATTTTCCTTTGAAGCCACTGCCTTCCCCTCCGACCCTAAATATCAAACCATTGCTGGTTGCTGATTTTCTCCACCTCTTTCAAATGAGCCTGGCGCCCAATTCGTAGCGCGGCCCCAGAGAGCCTGGGCAGGCGCCTGCCCTTGCCCAGCTCCGGGCACAAGCGGGACCGGACCTCGCACAGGCCGCAGGGATGGGGGCCCTCGGGCCGCGGGCGAAGTCCGGGTCCTCCGCGCCTGGGGAGGCCGCTGCCTCCACCCAGGCCCAGCTCTGCGATCCGCCTTCCCAGGTCGACCCAGCCCCGCCTGCGCCCAGCCGCAGTACCCCGCACTCGGCGGCTCCCAGCCCCGGCGGAGCCCAGCGGAGGCAGAGGCGGGGGCAGCACCAGCTCCCGGCGCCGCGCTGGTTCCCAGCGCCCCATCCGCAGCCCAGGGTGCTCACCCGGCTCCAGCGTGCAGAGCAGCCGGGGCGCGGTCCGGGAGATGCAGCTGCGCTTCTTGAGCACATTGCTCAGGATGGTGCCCACGCCGCCGCCGCCGCCGCCGCCGCCGCCCTGCCGCTTCAGGCATCTCCCTCCGCGCCGCAGGGAGCCGGGCAGCTTGTCCTGCCGCATCCAGGAGCGCCCCGGGCGGGCTCCGGTGCAGCCGCGGTCCACCCAGGGACCCCTCCGCCCCGCCGCCGGCGGAGAGGCTTCTCGGTGGCTCCGAGACTGCTCAGTCGAGGGTCCCTTGGGAACAGCGTGAGAGCTGCCGGTGCTCGGGGGTGGAGGGGACCTGCCGGTGCTCGGGGTGCAGGGGGCCTGCGGGGCACCACCGGAGCCGACGAGCGCCAGGCGGCCAGCAGGCATCTGCACTGCGGAGCCGGAGCCGCACGGCGGAGGCAGGAGAGGGCTTGGGGCGGGGAGGAGGGCGGGAGCGCTCGGGAGGCGGAGGCGGCGCTCCCGCCCCCAATGCTGGCATCACTGTGCGCAGAAGGGGCGGCTCTAGGGCCCGGGAGCAGCCGAGCTGCGGAGCCCGGAAACCCGGAGCGGGTGGGTGAGCGAACCAGAAGCAGCACCAGAGATTTCCGAGCTTCTCGCGAAGTCAGGGAGGGGCTGGAGTGGGAGCAAGTCTCCGGTGCAGAACGCCAGTGAGATGCCAGTGCCCCCTTCCCCTGAGCGGAGCTGGCCCAGGGCGAAGCCCGAGCTTCATCCCAAATTGTTTTTAACTGTTTCCTGGCAGCTTGGAGAGGCACAGCGAGCACATTTTAAAAAATGGTAGTCATAATAATAGGTCTTTATCTTTTTTAAAACTATATATTTATATTGGTTTCAGAGAGGAAGGGAATGATGAAACATCCATGATACTCAACCACAGAGCTGGTTCATCTCTGCAGCTAGAGATCCAATTCAGTAGTTCAGAACTAAGTATCATTACTGTGTGTTTTTTAAAATCACTCTTAAATTACGGCACTCACTAGTGGAATGTTAATCATAAAAAATGAATGAAGCTGCCGAAACCGGTTTGGCTCAGTGGTAGAGCGTCCATCTGCGGACTGAAAGGTCCCAGGTTTGATTCCGGTCAAGGGCATGTACATTGGTTGCGGGCACATCTCCAGTAGCGGGTGTGCAAGAGGCAGTTGGTCGATGTTTCTCTCTCATCGACGTTTCTAGCTCTCTGTCCCTCTCTCCTCCTCTCTGTAAAAAATCAATAAAATATATTTATTAAAAAAATGAATGAAGCCCTGGCTAGTTTGGCACAGTGAATAGATGTCAGCCTGCAGACTGAAGGGTCCCAGTTCAAGGGTCCCAGTTCAATTCCGGTTTTAT